ACCAGAAGGGTTCACAGCCACAAAAACCCATTCATTCTTCATCATGACAATGCAAGGCTTCGTGCCAGTTTTCAAATGCAAGAAGCAATTCAGGGTCTCCAATCATCATCTTTCAAAATATAAAACGTATCCCTAATTTAGCACCATGCAATTTTCATCTTTTCCCAAACTTGAGGAACAGCTGCAGTGAAATCATTATAAGCCTAACAAAGAAGTAAACACGTCTCTGTCACTGTGATTTCATAGTCAAGCTGAGCTACAGAAATTAAAAGAAACAGCTCTAACCCTTCCTTCCATGTAAGTAATATACAGTTATCCCTTTTTCACACAGCAACAACTTTATACATAATTAACTTACTAAATAAACAAGACTTGTTACAGAACCCAGCCCATCCCTAACAAAAACAGACTACTAGAATGACCACTGGAAATAAAACCTAATAAAAAACAAACATAAAGATCCAGCAACACAAAAATAAACAGAAGAGCTGACAACCATCAGCCATATTCTAAAGCATCCAAGAACACATTCAAAGATATATCTTCCTGCAGTGCTTTGAGGTAATTTTTAATTCTGTTAAAATTGTAATACAAATGTTTAATTTTGAGTTAAAATTTAATTTACATATAGAATTAAGTCAGATCTGACACACTCAAGGCTAAGCAATAAATTCCATACTAGCATTGTAGTGTATGTAATGCACTGCCAGCTCTGCATTCCTCAAGATCATCTGATGATGAGAAGAACACAGATTAAGAGTTTTTGAGAGAACATTTATTCCTAAGAGGTTAGAAAAAATCTGCATAATGATGGGCTTCATAATTTGTATTCTTCACCAAACATTATTATAATGATCAAATTATGGAGAATGAGATGGGCAGGGCATGTAAGATGCATGGGTGAGATCAGAGTTGGATATAAAATTGTCAGAAAATCTAAAGGAAGGAGAGTTCCTGGAAGAATAGGGCACAGATGGGATGATAGTATTAAAACAGATCTTAATGAAAGAAACTGGGAAAGTATGAAATGTGGCAGTGTTCACCTCTTCTACAAATGGGAGAAAGGGGAGGGGGGGATGTTAAGAACATTAGTGACATTTGGAATACTTATCACCTGAAACAATACTTCATGACACCAGTGAATGAAAAAAAAGTTTGCAGATGCAAGCCAAAACAGCAGAATATGGACTTGAAGGCTGCCAGAAAGCATGTTTAAAGCACATTTGCACAGCTAACACAAAGAATGATGACTTATTAAACAGAAACTTCTAACAAATCCTGAGCACACTACACCTCTGACAGCAAGATAATTTCACAACAATGGAAGCACACAAGTTCAACTTCATGAAAGAATTCAAACTGAAAGCTTCTGCTGGCAAAGTCATGGTGAATGTCTGCTAGGACACTTCCACTTACAATGTCATTCACACTGATTTCCTAGAAAGTTGAGTAATAGTGACTGTCAATTATTACTCCTGTCCATTGCGGAACCATGTTAGGTGGGTCTCTTGTCACCACGGCATGGCGTGTCCTCAGGTTGCGGATGGAGGAGACACCCTCCAGGTATGGAGGGAAGCTGTGAATATATTTAATAAGCAGTCGTGAACATCCGACAATGGGTGGTCCTACAGCTTTGGGGTTGGGCTTGGGGCTTTCAACTCCTCACCATAAAAAATAATCCAGTCACGAAAATGAACGCAAATACTTGGACCTGGTTGGATCCTCTGGATAAACGACCTAGGCTAAAGAAAATGGATATGAGATTAGGTACTTGGAACATCAGATGTATGTATAGGGCAGGTTCGCTCAGGACAGTGGCAGAAGAAATCTTAAAATATAAGTTAGATTTAGCGGGAGTACAGGAGGTCAGATGGGATGGAGGTGGCATCGAACCAGCAGGCGAATATATTTTTCTATGGAAAGGGGAATGAAAATCATGAATTAGGTACAGGTTTTTTCATACATAAGAGAAACGTTTCAGCAGTTATGAGGGCAGAGTTCATTACTGATAAGATATCATATATAATACTAAAAGGTCGCTGTTGTGATATCATCATTATGAATGTTCACACCCCAACAGAAGATGAAATTGATGATAATAGGACAGGTTCTAGGAAGAACTAGAACATGTATTTGATAAATTCCCGAAGTACCCTATGAAAATGTTGTTAGGAGATTTCAATGCCAAAGTAGGGAGGGAAGACATTTTCAAACCAAAAATTGGGAATGAGAGTTTGCATGAAATTAGTGATGATAATGGAGTTAGAGTAGTAAACTTTGCCACATCAAAAAATCTTACTGTCAAAAGTACAATGTTCTCACATCGTAACATCCATAAGTTTACTTGGACATCTCCTGATGGAAAGACACACAATCAAATTGACCATAGTTTAACAGAGAGGAGACGGCACTCAAGTATACTTGATGTCTGACCATTCAAGGCAACAGATTGTGATACTGACAACTACCTGGTGGTGGCAAAGGTTAGGGAAAGTCTGGCAGTGAGCAAAAAACAACACACAGAATTCATATGGATAGGTTCAATCTCAAAAAATTAAATGAGTTAGAGGGTAAAGAGCAGTACTGTGTTGAAATCTCAAATAGGTTTGCGGCTTTGGAAGACTTGGACACTGAAATGGGTGTTAATAAAGCTTGGGAAACTATTAGAGAGAATATCAAAATATTTGCCAAGGAGATAACTAGGTTATTATGAACCAAAGAAGCATAAGCCATGATTCAATGAAGGATGCTCAAAATTATTAGACAAAAGCAAACAAGCCAAACTGCAATGGTTACAGGATCAAAGCGAAATATATGGGGATAATCTGAACAATATAAGACGTGAAACCAGCAGAAATTTCAGGAATAAAAAGAGGGAATATCTGAAAGACAAAATTGATGAGCTTGCAACAAACAGTAAAAACAAGAACATCAGAGACATTTATAGAGGAATAAATGACTTTAGAGGGGTTATCAACCTAGAAGTAACTTAGTGAAGGATGAGAATGGTAATCTGCTTTCAGATTCCCACAACATTTTGAGTAGGTGGAAGAACTACTTCTCTTGGATATTGAATGTCCATATGGTCAATGACGTTAGACAGACAGATATCCATACAGCTGAGCCGTTAGTACCCGATCCTAGGCCTTTTGAGGTTGAAAGTCTATTGCAAAATTGAAACGGTATAAATCACCAGGTAGTGATCAAATTCCTGCAGAACTTATTCAAGCAGGATGCGAAATATTACGTTCTAAGATCCATAAGCTAATTACTTTCATCTGGCATAAGGAAAAATTGCCTGATCAGTGGAAGGAGTCTATTACTGTACCAGTACACAAGAAGGGTGATAAAACTGACTGTAGTAATTATCGGGGGATATCACTGCTATCAACTTCATATAAAATTTTATCCAATATTCTTCTCTCAAGGTTAAGTCCATATATAGATGAAATTATTGGGGATCATCGGTGTGGGTTTTGACGTAACAGCCCAACTACAGATCAGATCTTTTGCACTCGTAAGATAATGAAGAAAAAATGGGAGTATAATGAGACAGTACATCAGCTATTCATAGATTTCAAGAAAGCCTATGATTCAGTTAATACATGTATTAAAGATAAGCAGCGACACACAAACAGGGAGACTGCACAGAATAATACGTGAACGGTGCTGAAAATAAGAAATAGCCACTGCAGCACATGTGGACAGAGAGTGGGTATCCCTGCGATTTAAAACTTTAAATTTTGAATTTTAGAAGTTATAAAATTTTAAATTCTAAATTAGAATTCTAAAATCAAATTGATGAGCGTATGTTGGCGAGATTTTAAACAAAACTGACAGGCTGGTGTTTTAGATTTTAGATTGTGTGCAGTGTGACAGCTACGTAGTGAAAAATACACCTGATGATTAACGGTTGTGGCCGAAACATGTAGTGTAGAGGAAGAAAAGACAAAGAACTACAACCAAATAAATTGTTGCATTCACAACGGCATTTGTATTATTACATATAGAAGTGTATAGTGCAACAGGATGCTTAAATATAATATAATAAAAATTAGAATATACAAAACCATAAGTTTGCCTGTGGTTCTGTATGGGTCAGCCTTGGTTGTGACATCTAGGGAAGAACACACACAGAGGGTGTGTGAGAACAGAGTGTTGAGAATAATTGGACCAAAGAGAGATGAAGTGACAGGAGGTTGGAGAAAACTACATAATGAGGAGCTTCATACCTTGTACTCTTCTCCAAGTATAATTAGAATGATCAAGTCAAGGAGGATAAGGTGGGCATGGCATATAGCATGAATGGGGGAGACGAGGAGTGCATAGAGGATATTGGTGGGAAAGTCAGAAGGCAAGAACCGCTGGGAAGACAAAGGTGTAGGTGGGTGGATAATATTAAACTGGATCTCAGAGAGATAAGATGGGACGATATGGCTCAGGACAGGGACCAGTGGAGGGCTTTTGTGAACATGGTAATGAACCTTCGGGTTCCATAAAATGCTTGGCAATTCTTGAGTAGCTGCAGAATTGGTGGCTCCTCAAGAAGGGCTCAGCTCTGTTATTAAGTAAGTAAGTCCATTAAGGAATGTGGACTTCGACCCACATGCAAGAAGAGACCATGTTTACTGCCAAAACATCATCTGAACACACAGAACCTAAAAAAAATTTTTCATGAAATTGGCTGGGAAATGTTTTTACATTTCATTTATAGTCCAGACTGAACTCCCTATGATTCCATCTCTATGGGACTCTGAAGGAACTGCTAGAAAGCTGATGTGAACACAAGAGAGCAGGCACACCATTCTGTCTGTTATTTCTTGCAGAAGCTTTGAGAAGGCTTGTATTTAACTGTATTTATGAGGCTTGTGATGGGAGAGGATGTAGTACTGTATGATAATTATGTAGAGAAATATAGGTGCCACCACATTTTAAAGAAGGTGAATATACACAGGTCATCCAGAAAGTAAAGACTGTTTGAGGGTTCAAAAATAAATTAATAAAATTTAAACATTTTATTTTACATCATTACTACAGACCTTAAGCAATTTTTCTACATAATCCCCATGATGACTCAGGCACTTGTTGTACCGTGTGATGAGTTTTTGTATGCCTACATCGTAGAAATCTGCAGCCAGTCCACTGAATCAGTCTTTAACTGTCTTCTACACTTCATCGCTACTCATGCGTGTGCCACCCAAAAACTGCTTCAAATGTGTGAACAAGTGAAAATCACTTGGAGCCAAGTCCGTACTGTTGCAAGAATGGAAATAAACGTCCCAGGTAAAGTCAGCAAGTAAGTGCTATGTGCAAATGGCCTTTGTTTTCTGGAAAACCCTCATACACTGAGCCCATAAATTTATTATTAATAAAACAATATATAAACCTTAATTCTTAATTCATTCCCATTCTCTCCTATTCACAAATTATTTTGAAAAACTATACTGAGAATGCAACTCTCAAAACCTCACCTCATTTCCAATCAAGTGGTAAACCTTATGAAGCTCAGTATTTTCACATTCCTTCTTTCTCTTCTTGTTAATTTTAAAAAGTACTTGGCACTCTGAAAAGCACTGAGAATAAGAATCATTCAAAGCATCCTTGAAACTGCTTCAGAGATGGCTGACCACATTCTTCTGGATGATATGAAACTGTTCCCTATTCATCTTCATTTTTATCTTTGGAAAGAGAAAAACCAGTCAGAACCAAATCTGGTGATGGGGGCGGGGTTAAATCTCATTAACTATTTCTTGCAAAAAAAAAAAAATCTTTAACGCCTAACATGGATGGTATGATAATTCCATCAATTCTAAACAAAATTTGGCATTTATGGTTCTTCCTTTTGGGACAAATTCCTTGTGAATGATTCCCCTTGAATTGAATCTCATTATTTTTCAACTTTCATGAATTGTTTTGCACTCCAATGCGTTTCAGAAATGATTTTGCCCAAGTGACATTCAGTTTAACTTTACCTCCATTCTCCTCCAAGAGACTGGGCTCATACTGCATTAAGACCTGTTTCGCAGTAGCAATTGCAAGGAAAGATGTTACCCGCTCTCCTGACTTGATTAACTCTCGAATGCATTCCTGAACCACTTCATCATACTTACCTAGTCTCATGGGACGACCACGAGGAGCATAACCAAGAGAAGTTACCTCTTTGTCCCCACCTGAACTGCTTCCACAGTGTTCACGTTTTAGCAAATATTTATCTCTCAAGCCACGAATAGTGCTCTCTGGAACATCATGGCCAAGAATAGCTCTGAAATGCCGACAAGCCCGCTGACTTCCATGTTCAGCTGCATATTTTCCCATCTCAGCACGCACCTCAGGACTGTAAACAGTATAGTTTCCTCGTTTCTGTCCAACAGTAGAACCTGCTTTCTTTTTAGAACAGAACCGTCGCACACTATTGTTCCTCTTTCTAGGTGTTTCTTCAGCACTCATAGGGTCATCGACATCATCTTCCATGCCACAGTCCACCTTCACAACATGTATTACCTTTGTTTCTTGCTCTTGTAATCTTTCTCTTTTGCTACAGGATGCTACTTTTCCTGATAATGGTGGTGCCTTTTTAATTTGTAGTTTCTTTGTTGCTTCCTCAGGTACAATACTGATAATCACATCTTCTGTATTATGCTGAGTCTGTGCTTCTTGCATCTGAATTGTAATGGGTATATCTGGGGTGTGCGATGTTTGAAGAACTGATTCTTTCTCAACTGTTACAGACATATCACTGTTAATTTCTGTCGCTATGGAATATGTGCCATCACGATCTGCTATTAATGTTGAACCGGAAGTATCGAATGGGAGGGTTGCAGTTCCGTCATGAAGAGCATGTACAAATGTGGTAGGCTCCAAATTGTGATGTTCTACTATTTGAGAATGATCTGGTACAGCAGTCTGCTGCTCAACAAGAAGGGAATCAGCTATAACTGAAGACTGTTGCACCAATACCTGAGAGTGATGTTGTGAAGAAGGATTAGTGAGAGTACCATTAATAAGCTCATGTGATAATGATGACTGCTGTGGTTGCTCATGCTGTAGATGAGGATGTGGTAGTGATGATGCCACTACTTGCTGAACTACTGTTGCACCATTCTGTTCATGGGACAACAAAATTGACTGTGATTCCAAATCTGATCGTTCATTTGTGTGCGTCTGGTGGGGTACAACTATTGTGGAATGACTGGACATGGGCTGAAACTGTTGCTGAGAATCAGATGCTATTGCTACTGTAATGGTAGGCACAGAAGAATGAGGAAGAGATTGGGCAGAGGTTTCTGATAGATGGGATTGTGTCTGTGTTATTGTGAGAGGAACTGACGTGACTACAGATTTGTGGGATACTGGAACTGTAGTGCTGTTGTCTAAGTGCTCTTGGTTATTGTATGAAGAGAAAATCGGCTGTGGTTGCTGGAAAGTCTGCAGAGGAATAGGGTTCTGGTTGAAAGCAACAGCACTCTGATTCACAATAACAGGTGTCTGTTGCTGATATGAAGCAGCTGCACCTCCACTATTTAGGGGTTGAAATGTTAAGGGTAAGGAGCTTGTGGTATGAGAAGCAGGGATAAGCTGGTTAGTGGGTTGAACGTGTGCATTATACACAACAGTAGTTGGACCACTGACCTGTGCATTATTCAAGATATTTAAGGAGGCATGGAGAATGTCAATAGTTTGAGTTGAAGAAGGCCCAGCTGCTTCCTGAACGCTGACAGTATTGGTAAGCTGCAACTGCTGTTGTAACATGGCCACCTGTTGAGTAGCACGGTGCTTGTCCAAGTATAACTTCCGGAATTTACGTACTGTACTCTCCTTTGGAGGAAATGATAACTTCTGGGCAAAGTGTTCTACAGCAACAGGAATACCAAAGTGACAAGCATAAGAACCAATCTCATCTTTCAGCTCATTAGTGTACATGTTCTTCTGCTTTGCATTAACAATACCATTGTTTGTCCCTTTGTCTTTGTTACTGCTGGCCTGCTTACCTTCGACATCAGGATGGTGACTTAAAAATAGTTTCTTGAATTTTCGAACCAGTCCACGTCGCACCTCTTGTCCTAACCGTTCTGTAAAATGACTGCAAGCCATCTCCACACCACAACGTGCAGCAAAACGGCCAATTTCTTCCTTCAGTCCTGGAGTGAAAGCACGATATAATTTAACAATATTACGCACTGTACTTTCACTCACTGTTGTGCCCATTCGCTGGGAGAAGTGACGAACAGTCTCTAAGTTACCATGTTCCATAGCATAGCGTGCCATTTCTTCTTGAAGTTCTGCTGAATATTTGTGGTACCTCCCACGGCGTCTACGCTCTTCTTTTGTTGAAGCCAGAAGTTTCCTTACAGCAGCTACTGTGTTGGCTTGCAGCTCAGCTCGCCATTTGTCTTTAGGCAAAGATTCCTGACTGGGGTGCAATTTCTGATTGGCAATTGTCATCAATCTCTCTCTACGATCCAAGTTTCCTACATAAAGGAGAGAAATGAACCATGAAGACAGTAGCTTCTGCCAAAGAAAGCAACTTACTATACAATTTAAAAACCTCTCTACCCACCTTGGCACAATCTCCATAGATCTCATCCCCTTCAACATCCCAATGTATGCATTATCTAAATTGTTGGACATGCAACATATGGAGACATTATAAATATTATAATGACAATTTCAGCTTACTCACCATGCTTAAATAACCTCTGTCTTCGCTTCAAAATTGTTCTTTTCAGCAGTCTTTTCTCTCTCTCAGTAGCTGGTCCAAGAGGTTCTTGCCCTTCAAGTGTACCCTGACGACGAGCTTCCTCTGTGTGTTTACGCTGATGAATACGGAATGATATCTTGGATGTAAAAACCTCCTCACAATGTCGACACTAAAAAACAAATATATTTTAAATTACACTAAATGTGACCTTCTTAAGTTTAAGTATGTCATTTAACAGTGTTTTCAGTATTGTGACCTGTTTTAATATTCATCATTATTATCTAAGGTATGCATATCATTTGTACATGCGGATATTATACAACATATGCTTATAGGAACTGAATTAACAAACTTAATTGATATCATTGTCAGCATTTCTTAGCAAATTTTAAATTATTTATGATGCCTCAGCCCTCACTCAAAAAATATTGCTATTCAAAACACATTAAAGAGAACTGACTGCTCACTTACATATACATAAAAAGATGGAGATTAAAGAGTCAATTACAAATTCAGGAAAAGACACTTAAAACATCTGATGAAATAAATATTGTGACATGTTGCGCAAAGCCGAGCCCCCCCCCCACACCAGCAGTGACGTGGCGGGTGAGTCAGCGCTCCCCTCCCACCCCTCAGCGGTAACGTAACGCTCGCGTAATAGGCGAGTAATCACCCCGCATCCTGGCAGCCATGCGCGGTGACGTCATGAGTGGAGCCCCGTAACCGGGTAACTATGCAAGGCGAATCAACAGCGGTGACGTAACCGGACAGCGTGGCTAGCAACAAGGGTGCCTATTACGTGGCCGTATTGTCCGATCGAGGCTACATAGGGAGAAGCGAAGGCTATTCACAGTCAGTTGTACTGTAACAGTCGCCGAGTCGAGTTGTACTGAGTCAGTCAGTGAGTCCTGGAGCTACCGCCGAGTTAGCCAGCAACTAGTCAGTTGTATTCTGGCATTTTGGAGTGTACTAATTGTGATACTGCAGATAGCAGTAACCGTCAGATTGTAATTTGGGTGATTGTGAGAGCGGATGTGAAATAAAATTCGCTACATCAATTACTTCGTGAAGTTATTTGTCGCGATATACGCCCGATACGCGACAATATACAATACAATAGAACCAATATTCTACTTCAATGAGAACAGTTTCTCTCACAGAAAAGCCGTGTTCCATAAATGCTCTTATATGTTAAGATACCACAACAAAACAAATGATGAATGAATTTCAGTTAGTGTAACTTTACAGACAATAAAAATGAGGTACAAAATTTGGCATGCTTCTTAATTTATACTACAGCTTACCTTGTTGGTAGGATACTTATTCAAGAATCTGCTGCAATCCTGGTGCAAGGGATATCATTACTGCACTAAGTTTCACTTCAACATTTGCTCTCTTTCACTAATGTTACAGTATCTTCCCATTTGAATTTTAGTATTGAAATTTGAAACTTTTCATGAGATATATGAGATGTTTAAAGAACACTTTGCAAAACACAGTACACACTTTACATTAAGACACAAAATAGTAATAATAACAAATGGAAGAAAAGGGTGGTATAATAATAGCAATAAATCAGAAGTCCGAAAAGAGTGTGCCTTGAACCTATGCTTTTTGTCACATTCACAGACAGAAGTTGCAAGAATCCACCTATTCACTTCACTGTATCTGTCCATACATAACAACTTGAGACTACTGAATGGAATTTCATAAATTCTGATATTGGATAGTTTTTGGATATTAGTTTTACTAAAATCTGTCAATACATTTCAGTTTCTGTTGAAGTCGGAAAACAATAACACACATTATGCAAGACATGAAGTTTTTGCATGCATCTTGAGTGTTAACTTACACCCAACTTAATAAATACTTATCATAGTGAAACTTTGGCTTGTAAGGGAATATGAAACCTATATTTTATACACAATACAATTTTTAAGTCTCACAGTTTTTAAGACACACAAAAGAGAGTACATTCAGCAGAACTGTTACACTATGCATACATTTGCTAACTTCAGAATATATTTACAATGCTTGTAAAAAAGGGCAGAAAGAATTACCTGCAGACTTTTAAAACGGTGATATTCATATAAGAACCCCTTTAGTTACTGACAATCAATCTCAGAGAGACATTCATAAAATACATAAGACTGTCAGTTAATACAATATCAGTATGTCCACCCAAATTCAAAAATAATTTTATTTAGAGAAAATTATATAAGAGTAAAAAATGTTTTTGATAATAAAATATTTGAATAAGTGATTAATTTTTATTATTTTGACTACAGTTATATCCTGTTATACAGAACCATGAAAACATAAAACTAAATAGGTTCCATATTTTTTGTAGAACTATACAACCTAAGTTATTTGGAAAATGCAAAAACCAGAATCAAACCTACTACAATTCTCCACAGTTATATCTGTCCTTTCATAGGGAAGCAAACATGGATATTAAAAAGGGACAGATGAGAACAACAGACGCAGCGGAAATGTGTTTAGTTACAGCAGGCACAGAAAATATGTCAGATCAAAACCACTATGAAGAAGCTGAAAAAGACAAGTGGGTCATGTCAATTTGATACAGCAGCTAACATGACTACCTTCCTCTTCAATGGAATCTTATAGGCCTCTTTGATCTAGTATGTGATTAATATAAACTACTACCTTCCTGCTCTGACAAATTTCATGATGGAACATAATTTGTAACCATGTGCTAGAACGACTTAGAGGTGAGAAAAAGACAAAATACAGAAAGGTTTTGAGAGTAGAGATGAAAATCTCTCTACTAAATCAGTTCTTTCATTGTGATCACAGTTTATAATACTAACCACTATTCAACATACACTAAAGTGTGCTCCTTATTCTTTTCAATATGAGATCCTCATTGTATTTAACTAATCAATCCCACAGCCACGTCCCTTTTTCACCACAAGCAGATAGAGGGAGCAACAGATTTTGTTGACAAGCTGATTCTCATTAATTTTGGTAACAATTATGATTCTAATGGACTGCAAGTTTGAGTGCTACTGCACAAAGCAAAAGTAATTATATAAAATTCTTGATAACTGAGATTGAGAAATCAATGTTCAAACGGAGACAAATATTTTGTGATTCAATCTCAAAAACTTGAGACTTGCACATACCTAATAATCTGCACTTTTCAAAATATATTTAAGCTGACCAATTCAAGGAGGATAAGACATCAGATGTTGCATTTCACTAGCCCTGAAAGACTGTAAATACCGGTCTTTCATACTGTGTCTAGCCGACACATATGCACTACATCACAGACACTGTTGCTGTGCATGGGTATTGAAAAGGAAGGTGAAGGTGGTACTTCATATGAGTAGTACTGCCAACCTCATGACAAATAGGCAACACACCAATGTCAGTCTCAATCGGTAGACAACATATCATCAAGAATAAACTGCACACCCCAATCCTTGGTGGCTTTTTTAAGAAACAAAGGTGAGAGATATTTGAGATAATACAGTAATTATGTCCATATGTGATGTTCACTGTCCATCTACGTACATCATTAAAATATGTCTCTACTACCGGCAATCAGGATATTCTGAACATTTGTCTCAAAAAACAACAAAGCAAAAGGAAATACTTCCAAAACTTACTTGTAATATACTACTCTGTAGCCTCCTCCTCTTAGATAACGTTTCAGCAGGCTTGTCTTCATCTATCACATTATGATTCTCTTTGTCTTCCTCCAAGTAACTCACTGGGCTGCGACCAAACATGATAGTGAAGGGAGAGGATGACTCTCTGCCAGGTGTGGTACAATACTCGAAGAGAAATCTCGCCAATTCCAAATCCCACGCATGAGGGTTGGTTTCTACAAATTCATCCAAGAGCTTTCCAACCCAAGTGCACTGGCTTAGGTTATCATGAAGAAATACAAGCAAATTGTGTACTGTGGTATCACACACTGATGTGAGCTGTGGTACCATTAAACCACAGGTTAATAAGGTATCTTGTAACCGTGATACATATTCCTTATATTTACACTGTGCTATCTCTAGGATTTCTTGCGGCACACCGATAACACTGCACTTTGCAAATCCAAATGTACAAAAAGTTTTATATACAAAATCAGCTATATGACTGGCATGATTATCACCTGGCACTGGATGTGCAACAATCCAGTGAGAGAATGGATCAGCTAGTGTAATAATGAACTCATTCCCAAGAACAGTCTTTGGATAGGGGCCATACAGTTTCAACTCCACCTAAACAAAAGAAAAGTAAAAAATGAGATTATAACCCTGGAACTAAATTTAAATTAGGAAGTTCTTGAAAGAAGATACAAATTCCACTTTCTTTCAAATACAGGAAGGCTAGAAGGAATTTAAGAGCAATTACTGACCATAACTTTGGTCAACTACCTGCTAAATGTCATAGCAATCCAAGAAATAGCTTCAGGAATTTGTGATTTCTGGTTTTCTTTACTAATCACTGAAGTTATCTTCATAGGTTGCATCCTGTTGTGTTTCTCAGACATTTATATACGAATTAGGTTAACCATCACACAACAAATATACTGGCGTTTAATGTTTTACAATTAGACGTTTTATTCCTGCTACATGTTTCAGTCATATAAGACCATCAGGCAGTTAACACTGGAATATGTTTAGATATTGAGCTACTGATATAGATCCATACCAACACAATATTATATAAGAATGGAAAGTTTGCCTTAAGCTGGTGAGAATTACAATTAATATAGAAAATTCAAAATAAGATAAAAGAAAAACTATAAAAATGATATATATACCATGTGTCAAGATATATTAGGTGATGTAAGTGATGACTATATTACAGAAATATTAAAAAATATTAAAAATATTAAAAACTATTGAGTATGGGAGGTTATGAATGAATGCATACGTCATATTTTATGATCATATAATGACTCATATGGAAAATATGCACACCTAATACATCACACATTAACAACCCGTACATCATAGGAACTTGTCTCTGGGCTCCACGACCAGGCTTACTACGTAGAAAGCTTCCAACATCAAAGATCTACAAATGACACAACATGCCCAATTCTAACCTGTAGCACTGGAACCTTAGAATTGATTTGGCATATATATTTTCTTAACCTCCCATACTCAATAGTTTTGAATACTTTTAAAACATTTTTATTATTTTTAAATATTATTTAATATTTCAACCAAAAAGAGTCTAGGTTATTATGAATTGAAGAAGCATAAACCATGGTTTAAAGGACGGTTAAAGTTATTAGATCAAAGGAAACAAGCCAAATTGCAGTGGTTACAGGATCCCAGTCAAATAAATGCGGATGATCTCAACAATATGATACGAAACCAAATTGATGAGCTTGCAATGAACAGTAAGAACAAGAACATTAGAGACCTTTACAGTGGAACAGATGACTTTAAGAGGGGTTATCAACCCAGAAGTAACTTAGTGAAGGATGAGAATGGTGATCTGCTTGCAGATTCCCACAACATTTTGAGTAGGTGGAAGAACTACTTCTCTCAGTTACTGAATATGTCAGGCAGACAGATATCCATATAGCTGAGCCGTTAGTACCTGATCCTAGCCCTTTTGAGGTTGAAACTGCAATTGCAAAATTGAAAAGGTATATATCGCCAGGTAGTAATCAAATTCTGGCAGAACTTGTTCAAGCAGGAGGTGAAATATTACATTCTAAGATCCATAAGAGAATTAATTCTACTTGGAATAAGGAAAAATAGCCTGATCAGTACATTAGCCATTCACAGATTTCAAGAAAGCCTATGATTTGATTAGGAGGGAAGTATTGTACAATATTCTGATAGAGTTTGGGATACCCATGAAAATAGACAGGCTGATTAAAATGTGTTTGAATGAAATGTATGGTAAAGTCTGAATAGGTAGACATCTGTCTGATAATTTTCCTATCCAGAATGGTCTAAAACAAGGAGATGCTTGATCGCCACTCCTGTTCAACTTTGCTTTAGAATATGCCATTAGGAAGGTCCAAGAAAACCAGGTGGGATTGAAACTGAATGGGACACATCAGCTGTTAGTCTATGCTGATGATGTGAATCTACTGGGTGATAATATAGATACCATAAAGAGAAAAACACAAACTTTAACTGATGCAAGTAAGGAGGTTTGTCTAGAAGTAAACACAAAGAAAACTAAGTATATGTTGCTATCTTGTCACCAAACTGCAGGGCAAAATCATGACATAAAGATAGGTAACAGATGCTTTGAAAATGTGGCACAGTTCAAATATTTCAGAACAACAACAACAAACCAAAACCTGATTCAGGAGGAAATTACAAGGAGACTGAACTCAGGTAATGCCTGCTACCATACAGTTCAGAACCTTTTGTTTGTTTTTTTGTCTGCTTTCTAAGAACGTAAAAATCAGGACATACAAAAGTATAATTTTGTCTGTGGTTCTGTATTGGTGAAGAACCTGGTCTCTGACTTTAAGGGAGGACCATAAAATGAGGGTGTTTGAGAACAGGCTGCTGAGGAGAATATTTGGACTAAAGAGAGAGGAAGTGACGGGAGGATGGAGAAAGCCGCATAATGAGGAGCCTCATAACTTGTACTCTTCTCCAAGTATAATTAGAAGGTTCAAGTCAAGGAGGATGAGATGTGCAGGGCATGTAGAACGAATGGAGGAGAGGCGAATGCATATAGGATATTGGTGGGAAACCCAGAAGGAAGGAGAACACTGGGAAGACCAAAACGTAGGTGGGTGTACAATATTGAAATGGATCTTTACAGACCATCCTCAGAGGGACATCAATACAATTCGAAGCCATTATTACAATATGTGTTTGAATGCCAAGATATTTCTCTCACCTTCTGCCATACTTTACTTGTATTTCCATTTCTAGTATTCTTGTCCTTGTCGGAATCATCTTTGCTAGTATGTTCCAACTGCTGGGATTGCCCACTGCCACTGGTTTGTACTTCTGCAGTTTCTGAACACTGGCTGCACTGCCTCACAAAATTTGCTACATCTACATACAATCCTTTCCAGAAATAGAACTGGTTGAGTCCCATATACATCTTCTTTAAACCTAAATGAACACCTAATGGGAAAAATACTGTCAAAATAAACTCAGCTAAGCAACATCAATTACCAGAAAGTAAAAAAGACACATAAACAACAGAAATTTTTATAAAACTTCAATTCATCCTACAGATTTTTGTGGGTTATTTAATGATGCTTTCAGTAGCTAGACTATGTAGTACTGAATTGACGGATAACAGGCGAATGATAATATGGACATCATTTGGAAAGAAGTGGTTGCGGCCTAATCACAGATCTATCCTGCCATTTGCCTGGGGGGACTGAAGAAAGTAACAAAAAACATCAGGATAGCCGGTGTCTCAGCCAAGATTCAAACCGACCACCTCCAAAATAGGCGTCAAGAGCATTACTGCAACACAGTTCCATTCAGCATATTGTCCTATCATTATGTAGTCAGGCGTTTGAAAGCTCCAAGTTGTTTAATCAGAACTAAAATATTTGCCAAGATGTATGAATGAAATGTTCTGCACTGTTTGCATACCAGTAGTATATAATATGTAGTCTTAAGAGAGTTACTTTCAATGTGCAGGTCACGAGACAGCCAATTCTACATTATAGCACTAGCAAATCAGTCACTGAAAACAGAAATAACTTCATTTTTATGTAAATAAATGAAAGGATATCCAACATACAGTACAGGAAATGGAGCCTGCTGGCTATATGAGTCTGGCAATTACATGAGAAAACTATTACAGAAACTCGACACAAAGTAAAGACAACACTTTCCTGCTTCATTTCTTGTGTGAGTCTCCCTAGACTACATTGCAAATTGATGGGTGAAAGATTTTGGATACATACAATGTAATGCAGTGACATATTTGACTAGCCTCTACAATAATGGCACCTGCATGGGGGTGGATCATGGGTAGATCAGCTAGTGGCAATCGGGAGAACTATCATGTGGCAGGTGAAGACATGAACATTAGAAATTTGTTTTCAAATACATTTATAAAAATGATACTTTTTTGAATATTTGCTGGCTGAACAGGAATTCCAGACACTTGGATATCAGATAACCAAGTGTTTATTTGAAGAATACCATTTTCTGGTATGTGGCACTATGTAGATCTTGTGTGAACCGACGTTTTGGAGGAATGTATCGCCTCCAAAACATCTGTTCCCACAAGATCTATATAGTGCCACATCCCAGAAGACGGTATTCTTCGTGATCACCACCGTGAAAATCTCAAATCCAGCAAAGTGTTTATTTTATTATAAAGCCACCCATGTCTTAACAGTGTATCAAATTACCACATATTACATCACCTGTTCCTTCTTCGATGTGAATATTCTTCAGAATCTCTCTCTGCTGCATCTTTTCAGTAATTACTCTTTTAGGTAACTTTTGACCATAGTAGAGTACACCCTCCATAATCTAGAAATATTAAAGTATGCATTCTAGAAAATTATTGGCTATCCACATTAACACAAGCTCAGTAGATTAGCTCAATGTACTTGCATTAAACCACAACAGCCAAAAAGATAAGCTCATTGTTAAAAACTCAGCATAGCATTTTTGTCAACAGACAGCATCAATTATAATACAATGTTTGGATGAACAATTGTGGGTTTTCTGAGCAACTGAATTTATTCCCAAGCAGCCTTGGCATTTTTAGAAGATAATTCCAGAGCAGGGCATGACAGTCAAATGGTTACTCACAACAATTATTCATGTGAAAGTGTAGCCAGTATTTGTCACAAATAATAACCATTAAAACTTCCTTTCACATTAAGAATTCTGAACTCTATTATTCATGAAGAGTTCTACCTTCTGGGATACAATGTTGTGGTAGCCCCTAAATGAAACTCAACTGACATTTCAGAGGAATACTGCCTCCATCTTTGGTGTTGAAGAATATACCATGAAAGAAACCAGCATAAAGCTTTGCTTGCTGCCTGCTTCATGATGCTTTCTTGCTTGGCTTATTCTTTGACCCTGAAGATGGAGGCAGTATGTTCACTCCAAATATCAGCTGATTTTCAGTGAAATACATAGCATTATGCTCAGAAGATGGATCTCTTCATAACAACTGCTATGAGCGAGGCATGTGCTACGAGATCATGTGACGCGGGTATTTCACGGGGCTAGTAAAAATGGCTTCGTATAGTGTGCGGTGCTTTCTATAAGTTTTAAATAAAGTTGTGGACTTTGGTCAATATGTGACATGGTGATAAGACTGTGATATAAATACAGTGATTCTAGGTTAGTGAATTACTTTTTTGGCCACCCTGATTTAAATGGACTTTTCCCCTGTGAAAAATACTGAATAATTCAACATTTTTGCAACTTCTGCTGCCTGTTCCCTGTCTGAGGTAAGATTAGTTACATTTTATCACACATTTTCATATTTTGCACTTACATTATTTATAAAAAGAGTTATTCAAAAATAATTCAGCATAGAGGGTACTGAGAGTTACTTATCATACTAGCAGTGAAAGGGTTAATATCAAATTCATTCCATACAGATTTCTCACTTTCAATTTATTCACACCTTAAACAGCCTGATGGAAAAAAAAAAAATCATCTTGCACTTACTTTATAATTACGAGCTCTTTTCTTCAGTATTTTTTTGTAACTTTCAGTAGCTCCTACTGGCATTGCCTGTGAAGCAAGATAGTTATAAATCTCTGCATAATAAGATGAATCTGTTTCATCAGAATGTCCTTGATGGAGTCCCAATGCAAGCGAAACCTGATTTTCTGAACAAATATCTGCATCCTGGTGACTGGACTCTGTACCACCATCGGCATTTAAACAAGGAAGGTGCTCATCAGCTTCAATCTGCAGTTATCACACACAATAAAAGCAGAATACATTTTAACAAACAGTGCAAAATGGAGAGACTATAAATGTAAGTAAGAGCTTGCACTAACAGATCTCTATTTAAAATAAACAACACTGCCATACAATACAACATAAACTCTGGTGACAGTGCCCTGTGAGATGTCCCATGTTTAATTCACTGGCTGCTTGAAAGCAAATATGATAGACATGTCTAGTTTTTTGAGATAGCTATGAAACAGCTTCAATTGGACCCCCAAATTTCCCAGATTTTCTGAAGTAATGCAGCAAACATTCAAGCCACCAGATCAATAGGTATAACTGTGTTCTATGACAAACAAAATTTGCACCTCTCACAAGGGAAATAAAGATTGAACAACCTGGAGTATGCACTTAGTAAAATTTTGTTTTGTTTGTTGTAGTCAGCCTATACTTTTTTGAGAGTACTACTACTGTAGTAGTAGTAGTACATTTTGCCAGAGGCAAAATGTTTAACATAAAAGAAAGATCTGAAAAGTTTCATCATGGATGCTTTTACTACTACTGACAACAGACTTCATGCTGGAGTAATTTCAAGTATTCCAGCCAGGCTGCAAAGCTGTATCAATGTGAAAAATGGACATATTGAATATTCAGTCATTAAGGAGCATGTACTTGAAAAATCCACAGACAAGTATGTATTTACAAAACTGTTAAGGTATCTGTATAGGAAAGTAAATGAATATCCTTCTCATTTCCCCATTCTTTATAAAGCAATACAGGTCTACTGTCAACACTTTAAAATATATTCTGCTGAACAATGGATTAAGATGCAGTATAAGCATTTTCAATAGATTCAGCTATACTATCTATATAATATTTGACTTCAGTAAAATGGATAAAACTGTTAGATACAATAGAAATTTCTGCACTGACAATACTCATAATATACTTACTGGTATTATACAATATAAATAAAAAGAAAAATGTCTCCAGGTCTACAACCCTAATTAACTTCATGGAGATCACCACTTCTTGAGAAGCCACAACTTGCACAGCTGTGCAAGAATTTCCCAACATTTTATGGTACCCAAAGGATCATACCATTGGTGCGTATCCTGAGCCAGATCAACGCTGTCCATACCACCCCACCCCATTTCCCTAAGATCCATCTTAACACTATGCTCTCGCCTACATATAGGTCTTCCTAGTGGTTCTTACCTTCTGGCTTTTCCACCAAAATACTGCATGCATTCCTCTTCACCCCCATGTGTCCTACATACCCTGCACATATCACCCTCCTTGACTGATAAATGGCACAGAATACAAGTTATGAAGCTCCTCGTTATGCAGTTTTCTCTGTCCTCCTACCACTTAATCCCTGTTTGGTCCAATATTCTCTTCAGCACCCTGTTCTCAAACATCCCTCAGTCTATGCTCTCCCTTAATGTCAGAGACAAAGTTTCACACCCATACAAAACCACAAGAAGAATTACAATTTTGAATATTTTAATTTTTATGTTTTTAGACAGGAGACAAGATGACAAAGGGCTCTGGACTGAATGGTAGCAAGCATGACCAAAATTCAATCTCCTCTTAAATTCCTTCTGAATCAAATCTTGATTTGTTACTGTCATCCCCAAACATCTGAACTGTAACAGATATTCAAAACATTTGTTAGCTATCTTTATGTCATGATTTTGCCCTGCATTCTGGTGATGAGACAGCAAGATATACTTAGTTTTCTCTGCATTTAATTCTAGACAAACCTCCTAACTAGCATCAGTTAAAGTTTCTGTTTTTCTTTATGGTATCTATGTTTTTGGGGGGGGGCACGTGGTAGCATAGTTGGTTGAGGCACTATCTACACGCCAAAGGTTGTGGGCTCAAGTCCCGATGAGGGAGATTTTTCAATTTAACTAATCCTACCAGCTGCACTATGGCCCTGGGGCCCGACTCAACCTCTAACAGAAATGAGTGCCATGAACCTTCCAGGGGGGTAAAGGGCGGCCAGCACATATGGCCGAAAACCTTACAACCATCTGTGAACCTACTGTCTACAGAAAATGTGGGAGCCTCAACATCTCAGAACCCTATGAGCCTTCACAGTCTGTTACATGGATAGCTTTAGCTTTACCTTTCATCTATGTTATCTCCCAGCAGATTCACATCATCAGTATAGACCAGCAGCTCATTTCAGCACCACCTGGTTTACCTGGACCTACCTAATGGCATATTCTAAAGCAAAGTTGAAAAGCAGTGGCAACAGAGCATCTCCTTGTTTTAGATCATTCTGCATAGGAAAATTATTAGACAAATGTCCACCTATATGGACTTTACTACACATTTCATTTAAACACATTTTAATAAGCCTAACTAGTTTCATGGGTGCCCAAAATTCTATTAACTGAATCACAGGCTTGCTTGAAGTCTATGAATAGCTCATGTACTGTCTCACTGTACTCCCACTTTTTATCCAGTATCTGACAAATGTAAAATATCTGATCACTAGTTGATCAGTTACATTCAGAACCTGAGAGAAGCAGTTCTTCCACCTACTGAAAGAGTTGTGGGAATCTGCAAGCACATCACTATTCTCATCCTTCGCTAAATTAGTTCTAGGTTGGTAACCCTTCTTGAATTCATTTATTCCTATATACAGGTCTCTAATATTTTGTTCTTAATTAATTAATTAATTTTAATTTTTTTAATTCGCTTAGTGGGGGTTGGAGTCCAACTGGGTCCACTCGGCACGGCGCCCATTGATTGGCCTATCATACCTGCCCTGGGTGATTATGATTGATGATGGAGAATTTGGTGGAATGAAGATTGGCAGGGGAAACCAAAGTACTCGGAGAAAACCCGCCCCAGCACCACTTTGTCCACCGCAAATCCCACCTGACCAGACCCAGGCCGCCGAGGTGGAAAGCCAGCGACATCCTTGTTCTTACTATGCTGCCTGCTGGCTTTACATATTATCTGCCTTGGATCCTGTAATCATTGCAATTTGGTACGTTTCCTTTGAGGTAATAGTTTTGAACACCCTTTTTAAACAATGGCTTATGCTTCTTCGTTCATAGCAACTTAGACTCTCTTTGGCTGAAATGTTTATATTCTAATAGTTTACCAAGCTCTATTAACATCCACCTCAGCATCTAAGTTTTCCAAGGTTGCAAACCTATTGATATTTCAATCCGATACTATTCCTTAGCCCCTATCTCATTTAATTTCTGACGCTGAATCTCTCCATATGAGATCTGTGCATTGTCCATTGACTCACCACCAGTCTCCCCCTAACTTTAGCCGCCAGATAATGGTCACTATCATGGTCAGCCCCCCTGAAAAACAAGACATCAAGTACACTTGAGTGCCATCTCCTATCTCTCAAAATATGGTCAATTTGATTTTGCATCTTTCCATCCGGATATGTCCAAGTAAATTTATGAATGTTACAATGTGAGAACATCATATCGATAATCATATTTTTGGAAGTGGCAAAGTTGACTATCCCAACTCCACTATAATTACTAATTTTGTGTAAAGTCTCATACCTAGTGGTTGGTTTGAAAATGTCTTCCCTACCTACTTTCGCTTTGAAATCTCCTAACAAAATGTTCACATGGTATTTAGGGAATTTATCAAATACACATTCCAGTTCATCATGAAAGCTGTCTTCCACATCATCAGCTTTATCCTCTGTTGGGGCATGAATATTAAGAACAGGGATGTTACACCAGTGACCTCTTACTTATTATGTACAACATCCTATCACTAAAAAAATTATACCCTCTTAACTGCTGATATGATTCTCTTATACACAAGAAAACCTGTACCTAATTCATGGTTCTCATTCCCCTTTCCATAGGAAAGCACATATTCGCCTGATGGTTCAGTGCCACCTCTGTGCCATCTGACTTCTGTACTTCCACTAAATCTAATTTATATTTTTTAAGGGCCGCGCCATAGCTCAAGCGGTTAGTCACTGGCTTCCCACCGTGGCAGCCTGGGTTTGATCCCAGGTCTGGTCAAGTGATTTGTGGTGGACAAAGTGGCGCTGGGGCAGGTTTACTCCGAGTACTTCGGTTTCCCCTGCCAATTTTCATTCCACCAATTGCTCCACAATCATCCTCACCTATCATCTGGGGCCAGTACAATAGGCCAGAAGTGGCCACAGTACAAGGGACTTAGTACCACCCCACTAGCAACAAAAAAAAAAACCGATATTTTTATAGTTCTTTTGCAACTTTCATGAGTGAAAGTGCCAGATAAAGACTTCTTACTTTCCAAGTACCAAATCTCATGTCCATTTTCTTTCACTTATGTCATTTATCCAATGAATCCATGCAAGTCCAAGGCCCTTTGTGACATTTCGTAATGAGCTTATTTTTTATGGTGAGTTGTTAGTCCCATGCCAAACCCCCAAGCTGGAGGACCACCCTTGTTGGCTGTCTGCAACTGCAATATATTTGCAGCTACAACTCTCTCTGTATTTGACCAACTGCTGAGAGTATAGATGTGTAATGATATCACTTCTCATTTTAAATCTGGAAAACACTTCCTCCAAATCACTGAGGTTCAGGTTCTTTCATCCCTGTCCTCCATAGCACACACCAGGACAGTACCTGAAATTAGACTGTTCCATGTAGTGATCTTGAAATCATCATTTTATGCTACACAACCTCAACTTTGGAGAGGTACATCAAATGTAAGATAATCTCTACATTCTATAAACCTGTCAAAGTCTCCTAAATGTTATCTTAAAAATCTCATAATCTGAAATAAGAATTACCTCACCTGAGTGTACTGCTGTGTTTCAACTGCACTATAGTGCTGTCCTTGTAAAGTTAACTGTTCTTCTACTAACTGCGATACTGCAGCATATGGTTGCTGTAATTCCTCAGAACAATGGACTGATACAGGAATCTGTATCACAGTCTCACCTTCATTCCTACATGTGTTAGATGCTACAGCAACTGCATACACGCAGTCACCATTCACAACTTGCTCAGCAGCTGCAAGAATGACAAATATGTGTTGGTGAAACAGGCATTCTGTTCAAAAACATCCGTACTTCTTCATCCAGGAATATATTACTGACCACACATCTAAATTTGACAATGTTGCTTTGTGGACTGCTTATTATACGCGTATAAATACATTAAAATTAAAATGCCAATTCAGATGCTATCAAATATCATACAATGAAAAACAAAATGTAGATTTGAGGTTCTCACAGTAGTGGATATGAAAAGTTCTACCTTCTGGCATATAATTCCATGCAATCAATTTATGGTAAAGGTTAATTTTCAGCATACTACACACCACTATATGCCAAAAAAACTGAATTCTTTAAAATCAATTTTTTTTTTTGCAACAGATGTCATTCAAGTCCATTTCTGGTGAATCTCTGGACTTTCTGCTATTCATCTTCATATCAGTCTTCAAAATTTGCCTTGTTCTTACATAAAGAACATAAACATTATGTTTGGGTTATCTTACAAACATATGCGGGTTGGAACTTTAATAGTGGCAACTATTTATTTACAATTGATACAAAATAAATGCATGTTTCAAAGTTTTACTGTCCTTCAATGCAGTCACCAGCATTGTGTACAACCCGTTGCCAGCGATGTGGAAGTCATAGGATACCTTTAGCAGCACCTGTTGTGTTGATAGTTCAAATGGAGCAGTATACTGCCTTAAGAATCTCTGGAAGAGTTCTGAAGCGAATGCCATGAAGTGGTTCCTTCATCTTAGGAATAACATCGAAGTCATAAGAGCTTAAGTCCGGGGAGTATGGTGGATGGAACAGCACTTCCCAGCCCCATCGATCAAACAAATCAGCCACAGCTTGCGCTGCATGCGGCCGAGCACTGTCCTGCAAAATGATGGGTGGGTTCTGCAGAAAGCGTCGCCACTTCTTTCTCAAAGTTGGTCGCAGGTTGTGTTCCAAAAATGAACAGTAATACTGCACACTGACAGTCTGCTGTCAGGGAACGGTATGCATTAGGATAACACCATCACAGTCATACATGAGAATCACCATAACTTTCGCATTGCTGGATTTCTGACAATCTTTTGATTTTCATGGTGGTTCCACCTTGCCACTGTTCTGTAAGGGAATGCAGATTCCCTGCAAGCCTCTTGAAGACCTTGATGACACTGTTGTGCTGTATGGCCTCTGGCACATTCAATCTTTATTCAACTCCGTTGTTCCTGTTTTGAAAACATCATGACAACTCTACATTAGACTGCCAGCTAACATGAGGCTCTGTTCTTCTCGTCACTGCACTTGCATGTGATGTGGGAAGGGACAGTCCATTTGCTCTGAGGTAAGGTAGGTATGTAACTAACATGTGGTATAAGCAACATTATTTGGTTCCGTTGCTTGGCGTCTCTGCAGCAGTGTTGCCACTATTAAAGTTCCAACCCTAGTTGTTTATAGATCAAACACAGACTTCCAAGAAAAAATTAATTTTCTTTTAATTACATATCAGAAGTCCTTCCTCTTCGTGACAATGATTTATTAAATTTGAATACAATATTTACAAAGGGCAAGAACAGCATTTTCTTATTACATTAAGATTATTTAGTAAGTACTGAGTTCAGTATTCCATGTGAAAACAAACCCTGAATATCACAAAACTATTTGTTTCATTAACATATACACTGTGGGATGTCATATGAAGAGACAACCACTAGTTGAACTGTCCTATAGGATTTATTGCAGTTATTATTATAACTATTATATATAATACTATAACATATATATATACTATAATATAATACTATAACAGTATTATAACTAACAATAAAATCTAACATAAATTTCCATACCTGTACTAGAAACACAGTTTTCCAAATTTACCACAAGGAGTCCTTGTTCATCTGCAATTTCCATACTGAGAAATTCCAGTATGGTGTGATTGAAGACGGACAGCTTACACGTAGATAACTTTAATTCAACTGAAAGAAAAGAAGAAAAGACCAGAATATTTGTGTGTTGCTGCAAGTCTGAAAAAATGATATAGCTTAAATGAACATATCACTGAGACAATCCTATTCCAGTAACAGCACAAGAGTGAAAAATTCAAGAATTTGCCACTGTCTAGTCCAATATAAGTGCAATATTGGTATCCTGTACACTAACTGAAGTGGATGTATTATTTTTGATATTATGTTGAAGAAAAAGTCATCATCTAAGCCAGCATGATGAAACAGGTGTAACAGGAAGAAGGAATTACACCACGACCTGACAGTCTTCCAGTTCTTTCAGTTTTTAAGAAAAATGCTCTATTTCAAAACTGATCACATGTTAGAGGTGAAAGACTGAACACCACAGTCAAGTGGATACCAACCCTGCTTTGTAATCTAAAGGCCCAGGTTTAAATCTAGGTTCAGAGTTCATTCATTCATTTGTTTATTTACGTTCCATGGATCCTTACATGGTTGGAAGACCAGTGGCTATGGAAATAGTCAAAGACAACAGGACAAATCCCATCAATTATATAAGAAAAATTAATTACACTTAATCCAAAACAATTACACATTATCCAAGTCAAATCACAATCATTACGACAGATATAAAACATATATGTAAAAGAATACAACACAAGACTACAATAATGAAACATAAAAATATACTACTATGCATCCAGTGTATAACAGACCAAGATCGTTAATTAATATTGAAGTTAAAATATTCCCCCAGTGAGTAAAATGAATTTAAGAGCAGAAATATTTTTAAAGCAAATACAAATTGTTTTGTATTATGAGCTTACTTCTTTATGTTAGAAGGAAGATTATTAAAAACTTTTATTCTGAAATAGCATGTTCCTTTTCCAAATACTGTTAAATTACATATTGGCTAATGGAAACTGTTATTGTGTCTTGTATTAATGCTATGAATCTCACACTTAAGATTTAAATTGTTCTGTTTTTAACCATAAATAGTAAGAGAGCAAATACGTGCTGTCATTGCACAGGAAGATTTTCAGTTCCTTAAACAATTCCCTGCAAGAGTATCAGAAGTCCTAATTAGTAATAATTCTAATTAGTAATAATTCTAATTACCCTTTTCTGTAGCCTAAAAATATGAATACTACTGGGAGAATTTCCCCTGAAAATTATATAATAGGTCATAGCACAATGAAAATATGAAAAATAAATCATTCTTATTGTTTCCTGTGACATATAAGGTTCAATAACCCTGATTGCATAATGGGCCTAACATAATTTAGACATAAACCAGTCAACATGTCCTTTCTTGTCAACATATCGTCACTAATTAATCTGAGTAATTTGGTATTAGTATATATAGGAATCTGATTGTTACCATAGTCAATATGCACATCTACTGGTTAGCTATTCTTAGTAAAAAATTGTATAAAATATGTTTTATTGAAATTCAGTGTCAATAAATTAGCTTTAAACCAATCATTTATGTTTTTAAATGTTTGAATAATATTGTTTTCATATTCTAAAGGACTAGAATTCATGATAATTATGTTGGTGTCATCTGCAATAAGAACAGGTTCAGACTGACTAATTATGTTTGGCAAGTCATTTATATATAAAACAAACAATAAAGGTCCCAGTATCCATCCCTGGGGAACACCATTATTAACTTTGCCCCATCTGGAATGAATATGCCAATTATCTGTTACAACCCTTTGGTACCTGTCTTTGAGATAGGAATTTATCAATGCATTGGCCTTACCAACTATTCCATAAAATTCTAGTTTAGATAGTAAAATGTCATGACTGACAAAGTCAAAAGCTTTCCTCATATCACAGAAAATGCCACCTACTAATATTTTGTTATTCAGTACATTTAATATGGGGGCATACGGTAGTGTAGTTGGTTGAGGCAATATGCTACAAGCTGGAAGGTCACGGGATCGAATCCCAATGAGGTGGATTTTTTTCAATTTACCTAATCATTCCACCCACACCATGGCCCTGGAGTCAACTCAGCCTCTTAACAGAAATGAGTACCAGGAATATTCTTGGGGGTAAAGGGCAGCCAATGAACAAGGCTGACAACCTCATTGCCATCTATGAGTCAACTGTCTAGAAAAATATAGGAACCTCAACATCTCACAACCCTATGGGCCTCCATGGACTGTTACAGGGATACCTTTACTTAGTGCATATAATATATCATTAACTAATTTATGTGAGGCCACTTCAGTAGATGAATTACTCCTAAAACCATATTGTTCATTTGCTAATATGTTCTTACTCATTATATGTTGGTGCAGTCTTGCATATATAACCTTCTCAACAACTTTTCAAAAATATGTCAGTAATGATATAGGTCTGCAGTTAGTCATATTAGTTTTATCTCCATTTTTAAATAATGGTTTTATTTCTGAATATTTCAACTAAGTGGAGAAGATGCAAGTTGAAAGAGATCTGTTACAAATATAAGTTAATGGGAGCTAATGAAAAGTGCACTGATTTTCAGAATTCTAACTGGGATTTCATCATAATCATTAGAAAGTTTTGGTTTTAAAGACTTAATTATATTTTCAATTTCTTTAGTGGAGGTACAGTTGAGTATAATTTCTGGGAAAGGAATTGTGAAAGCTTGAGACAGATATTTTGAATATTTGTGAGTATCCGATTCTATAACGTGGCCATCATTTGCATTATTGGTATTGATCTTGTCAGCTATAGTTGTAAAATAATTATTTAAAGAATCTGTATCATATCATGATTATCAGTTAATTTCCTATCAATGTTTAAAAACTGCATACCAGCATTATTAATTTTTCTACCTGTGTCTGATGTTATAATGCTCCAAGTGGTTTTCATTTTGTTACTAGAATTAGAAACTAATCTATTATAATGAATATTTTTAGCTACTTTAATAACATTTACCAAAAATGTTAAGTATGTTTTATAATAATAGTTTAGTTCTGGATCATTACTATTCATAAGAGTTAAACAGAGCTCTCTTTTGTGCTGACATGAAATCTTTATATCCCCTGTCATCCAAGGATTATTTTTAGTTTAATCTTAACTTGTTTTTTTTTTGGAAAGTTAGAGTAGACTATTCTTAGGGAAGTATAAAAAAGAAGTTGAAAATTGTATTAATATCTTGATCAACAAAAATACTGTCCCAAGTTTCATAATTCAACTGAATCAAAAACTCATTCATAGAGGACTTACTATTTCCTTACTAATTGGGTGCAACTGTTATGTAAGTTAATATTATTTATATATATAATCTGGCCATCATGATCAGAGAGACCATTAACAAGCAGACTTATGGCATAATTTACAATTCTGCTAAGATCAATAAAAAGATTATCAATTGCAGAGATTGAGTTATTTTGGATTCTAGTAGGAAAGTGCACTGTACTAAAGGTTAAAAGAAGAAAATAAGGTGTCTAATTGTTTTTTCGTTGTTTTCTTCAATCCATACAAATACATTCTGGGTTAGTACCTCAAATTAGGCTGCCTTCTTCCTTCCATATCTTTTCCCATTCACTATTCACAAATCCCAAACATACATCGCGTGAAGAAAGCAGTCTTCTGGGATTTGGCACCGTGTATATGTGGTGTTAACCGACGTTTCGGAGGAACGTATCGCCCCCATCTTCAGGGTAGAAGAAAAAGTATAAGAATTCTGCAAGCATTCTTATACTTTTTCTTCTACCCTGAAGATGGGGCGATACGTTCCTCCGAAACGTCGGTTAACACCACATATACACGGTGCCAAATCCCAGAAGACTGCTTTCTTCATAGTCACCGCCGTGAAAGCCTCAAATCTTACATACATCGCGTGGACTACTAACAGCGTCGTTATGATTATTAACGTAAGTTTTCAATTGAGGTTATCCAAGAACGTCCACCCAATGTCAAGGAACGTCATTCCTACTTTGACATTTTACTTTCAAGTGTCAAAATTCGCGCTATGATCATTCAAATCTCTACATTCACTGGTTTTTACAATTACCTAAACACCATGATATCTACTTTAAGAAGTATGTTCATTTATTTATTTCAAGCAATAAATGAGTCTGTTAATCCTATGAGAGGTAAATCCGAACTGTGACACCAATGTTCACACACAAGGAAGAAAATGCGTGTAAATTTTATCACTGCAGTTCAAAATCTACAGGCACATTTTTTTCTTACTGTGCAGTCTCAAACCATTCTTTAGACGCCATTTTATAGCTATACTATTAATAAGCTGGTATGCGTTGTTTTAAAATGGAAAAAGTGTATCTCATCTATGAGATGAATGAACAATTAAAGCCTACAGAGCTATTGTACATATAGTTCTCTGAATCTTAACATAGCGCCAAATTTTTATAAATTGGCAGTCAGAAAATTTAGCTTCGAAGACACTAGTTCACCTCTTCCTCAGCGATATATTTAGCGCGGTATACGCACACCTTACATGTCACAGAAAACCACCAACGGATGCGCAACTCAGTTTTAAACACGGTTACTAAATAGACGCGAAGCGAGAAAGGGAGTGTCACCGACATCACCCATGGCCATCTCATGTGATTGAAGCAGATGTTACATCAATGAAACAAGCACACGTTTAGAAGATTAGGCGTATGCATGAATTCCATCAGGACTCAGATTATCGCAGTAGGAGTCAGAAAACAACTCCGTCCAATGTGATTATGTGTGAAAACTTTGGCTTTATGTTGGTACCATAAAGAGAATTTGCCGGTTGATTGCTTCAATTCTGATAGTACACTGATTTTATCAATAGACATAAAATAGTGCACGGCCATAAGTTCTAGGCCTTATACGTGTGTGGAGTTTTTTTTTATGTTTGTAGTGTTTGTCTTACCCGGTCTTATCCTTTACAGATGGTTTATGTTGTCCTTTATATATATAGTGTTGGAGCTGGTGTCTGGAGATTGGGCCCAATTGAGTCGGTTTCACTTGAGGACTGAGGCAGAATTCAGTCTCCGAAACGTTGAATTTTTAAAATAAAAACGACAATGGATAATGTCCAGAAACACATAAATTGTAAAACTTCTTAACATGTAACATACTGCAGGGATATTTGAGTTCATATGTTTACCTCCCCTGAACTAGTAAGTCAGTGTGACGGAGTGTGAGCGCATTAGTTTCTGACTGCGTGCTGTTGAAAGTTAGTTTCACGTTATTAAATATCTATATACATAAAGTCAAATGTCTGCTGAAGATCTGTTCGGCTGCTATCATTCAGTGTATATGATAATATTAAAAGAATGTTATTCGTCTTATAAAAGAGAGAAATAAATTCTAGGGACTTTTGTTCCAGTGGCAAAGTTTGTATTTCAACCGAAGCGAAGGAAGCTGTGCACCATGTGATCGAAAGACTGGATGTAAATCACTGACTACAGATTAGATAATACTTGTACAATAATTATTCAGACCTTTTATGAATGTATTTTAATGGTGGAAATGGGGACAAAGAAGTCATTATCGGAATGTTTCTCGGACCTGATTAATCCTGCTCCAGCATCATTTGATCCTGAGGATGACATATATCCGGATACTGTGGCGAAAGTCGTAGAAAATAACTATGAATTTAGTGACGAAGAAACGAGGCAAAGCACACTTAGGAAAAGAAGTATAGATGCGGTTGACGGTGATGAACGGTACGATGGGGCAAAGATATCGCGAAAAGCACTTAGAATGCAGGGTACTGGTGATAAATTGGAGTTGGGTAAGGAGGATTGTTCAGAGACTGAGGATGCATATACAAGTGAAGATGATGAAGAGAGTGATGAGAATCAAGAGGACACACATGTTGAAATGGATAGGAATGAAATGTTACAGCCAAGGGACAATGAAGGTGAAAGCATTTTTCAACATATATCAAGCAGGGGAATGGAGACAGACGTAGAAAGAGGCATTGGTGTTAGAAACCAGTTAAATTTATGGGACAGCTTACTGGAATGTAGAATTCAGTTGCAAAAGGCTTTGACTGCAGCTAATAAGTTACCACAGTATAACATCTTTGAACACTTTATTGCTGAAGGGGGATCCAAGTTTAAAGCTGAAGTTCAACAAACAAAAAACAAAATTACAACTTTATTGGAAAATATGATTGCTTTTCAAACAGAAATGCTGAAGTCATATCCTGAAACAAGAAATTTGTACAAGACAAACAAAAAGGAATGTTCTACAAGTGAAGTGGATGAAACATACCCGGTTGCAGGTGAAGAAGAAGAAGAAGAAGAAGAAGAAAATTATTCAAGTGATGGGAGTGAACTACAGAAGCAGAAAGAACTTGATACAAAACACCATAATTTGGAACACTATGCTGAACTTATAAGTGATCATCACAGGAAGTACTCAGAATATCGCAATGCAACCATTCAGCTATGGAATGATAGGACCCGTGTTTTGGTAGGAAAACTCAACAGTCATAACTTTTCAAATTTTGAGCACTCAACACTTAAACAGATTGAACAAATCCTAAGCAATCGTCAGAGACTCATACAACGTTCTCAGTTAAAGAGACAATCATTTATTATCTTGGGGCAACAACTTGTTCCACAGCAGCAGCAACAAGAAAGTACTGAAGGAGCTGTTACATATATAGATGCAAATAATTTGAAGACAGATCAGGAACAGTGCAGAGAGTACTACACTGAAATATATGATGATACAGACTATTATCATCAGCTCTTAAGAGAACTTATTGAGAGGAAGTCGTCAGATGTTACAGATCCAGTACAGCTTGGACGACAGTGGCTAGAACTTCAAAAGCTGAGAAGTAAAATGAAACGAAAAATGGATACAAGAGCAACAAAAGGTCGTAAAATTAGATATGTAGTACATTCCAAACTTGTTAATTACATGGCTCCAGTGTCTCAGAATCTTTATACTGAAGAAGCAAAAACTGAATTGTATAACTCTTTGTTCAGAAATGGTGGCAGACAGTAGTGAGAAAGTTTGGGCTTGGGCAAAACTAGAAGAACTGGAAGTACTTTCTGTCGATTTTAAAATTAAACTGTTTTGACTCATAAATTTTGAGACATAAAGTTGTAGTCAAATATGAATACCAAATCTATAATTGTTAAGAGAGCACCTAAAATACGATTACATACAACCCAGATGACCATGACCATGATATCACTCCTGTGTAAATTGAAGATCTTATGTTTAAATGCTTGATCACAATACAGATCTGAAATATGAGTGTATACTTGCTTTTAGCATCTTAAAAATTTGACATCAACAAGACCTTAAATGTAAATTAGATTATCCACAAGTTTACTTTTGTTTGCTTGTTTCAATTTTGGATGCACTCCTCATTAGTTATCAGTTGCCTCTTTAGTACTACAGAGTTTTTCTGCATTCACAATATGCTACCACAAATTCTAGAACACAACATTAACATTCATTGGATGTTACTACCAGAATGGGTCTTGTGACAGCTGTCTTCATCCTCCCATAAGCACACTCGTGTGTGTCAGTTTCTCTGTATGTAACTCTTAATATAACAGTTTTTTTCAGTTATACATATATTGTGTAAATTTAAATGGTGACTGTGGAGGTTGGCTCACAAAACAGTTATACTCTGAAGGCGTCACAATTGGATAGTGACTTAGATCATTATGTCATCACTAGAAAGTTACTAGATTCTATTATGAACATCTGATGGCAACCAAAATCATGTTAGATATGCTGCTGAATGCACAGAACTTTTCTTGCATAAGGTTGCCACCTGAAGGTATGACATGCACTGGGGCCACTGTAAGTAGAAGCACGGTTGATGCGATTCCACAGCAGCAGTGTTTGTGTGTATTAAGACCTAAACTAAAGAAATTTACCACTGAATTGTAGGAGACTGTCACTCTTCTGCATTTCTGTAACTCACTGGAGCAACTAGTCTCTGTAAATTAAAAATATCATTCTTGTGATAGGTGTCTTCAACACATCCATTAGTCATGAGTTGTCACATGGCAAACTGATTTTTTCTGAAGCAGCTGCAGTGGTGGTAATTTGAGTAGGACAGACAGTAGTAAACAAATCTTATTCTGTCCGCATGCTTCTGGTTATGTATTAACTTTACCTTAAGATGGTTTAGACAAAGTACATGCCAATATGTGTGTTAAATGAAACAAGTTTGTGAAAGTGTTAATGGTAATATATTGTAATAAATTTTGTAAGAATACACCATGGAAGTATATTAAATTAAAATAAATAAATTGATAATTTTGTATCAGTATGCTGTGTAAACAAATTCAAAACCCCACAGACGCTGTGAAGTGCCTCTTGTTTATCAAAGGAGTACAAGCATGTTTGCTCATACTATATCCATGTTGTCATGAATGAAACAGTTTCATAAAATCTTTAATAAATGTTTATTCTATGTACAGCCATTACAAATAAAATTTACACTCTCATACACCAGAATACAGTATCTTCTAAAGCAGATGCTTTGACATATATGGTCCATCAAGCTCATATCCAATTTTCCTATAGTAATTTCTAGTACCAACACCTGAAAGAAGAAAACATCTTTAATAATATAGTTTCAATTGAAGTTTCCACTGTTTTGTCTTAATAGAATTACACCAGCAAAATTAATGTGTTTATATAAGAACTACATCTAAATATTACTACCTGAAATTACAGAAATTTTTACAGATCCATGCTCTTCCTTTGCAATTCTTTCTGCCTCTTCCATGAGCAACATCCCAAATCCCTGGTGCTGGAACTTTGTGGGATCACGAGCACTGACAGGAACTACACTCCCATAGACGTGCAGCTCACGTACAATTGAGACACCACCTTTCAGCTCAAGTCTGGAAAGATAAGGCTAGAAATAACCATTCTGAAGAACTCGATCAGGAGCCGACACCTTTAGATATCCACTGTCGGAGATTTTTAAATAAGGTATTAGGAAATTTAAATTTAATGATCTCTCTATATCTGCTACGTGTAGCATTCTCTACTGTCAGCTTTCAACTTCAGCATGTCTAACATTAAATTGTGATCCTGCACTCATTTAATCTGAACTTCAAACCACTATGCAGAAGTGGACATTTCTTCACTTCTTCAATAACTTCCCCCTCTTATGGAATCCACAGTTTCATTAACATGTTCACATAAGTTCAGGTGTGCACCCCCATTCTTTAAGATGTATTTTAATATTATGCTCCCATCCATGCCTAGGTCTCCTAAGCAGTTTCCTTCCTTCTTATTTTTCCTGCTTGAATCCTGTACACATACCTTTCATGCAAGTTACATATTCTATTAATCCAAGATCAGAATAGCATAATAATATTTAGTAACTACTACAGACTGTAAAGCTCCTCATTATGTAATGTTCTCTGTTATTTCTGCTCTTTGGTCCAAATATTTTTCTCAACTTCCTCTTCTTAAACACCTTCAATTTAGGAAGAGTTCCATGTGATGCCATGTGAACATTTGATAGGAACATTCAATCTCCATCTTCAGGGTGAAGAAGTAAGCCAAACAAGTATGCAGCGTTTACAGCATGTCAATTTCTGCACAAAAATATTTAACGTGGATGGCACAATGGGAAGTAGGGGTCAGGTGAACTCTGCGGTCTCGTGAGTGACGTCACATACCCCCACCCCTTCCATTATTACGCAACGCTCAGTAAACACTCTGTTGCCTCCTGTGGTGACATAACAGGGGACACCGCGGTTAGTACGCAGCAGTAAACAACTCTCAGCAGTGTTCCCCAGCAGCACTTGTAAACACGACATTACGCAGCAGTGGTAGCTATCACATAACTGTTTTATGTGCTGTCAGTGCGGAAGTTACTAGGGTAGTGAGTATTGAGCCAGTTACTAGAAAGTAACCAGTCAGTTGCAGTCTAGCATTTGCCAGAGTGAGTTGAAGTCCATTGTTATTGAGTTGTATCGAGTGAATGGAAGTGACTCCAGCATGACAAGTGTGATACTGCAGATGGCAGTAGTGGTGTAATCGTGAGAGCGAGTGTTCAATAAATTCGCTATATCCAATATGGCGTGAAGTTATTTCTCACGTTAATACACCTAACACGTGACAATATGCTGGAGATGAATGATTTAGGATTTAAACTGAGCACAACCTTCAAACATTCTTGTAGAGTTTGATCACATCCTTAGCTCAATATGCCTGTATTGTATATAGATACTCAATTGACACTGGTCGCACCCCATTTTAGTGGTCACATTTGTGCTCACATATTTTCTGGCCATCCTACAGTGCCTCAGACACCCAACTGGGAATCAGTGTTGGGGGGGGGGAAACTAAACTAAACTAAACAAGACAAACTCCATGGCCTGTAGTCTGCAAGCAAACTATACCGACTGCTGCTTGTCAGCGAAGTTAACGCCAACTTTAGCAGTGGTCAGTGCAACAAATCCCCACAGCGTTTATTTCGGTTTTCTAGACTGGAGCCAATATTTCTTTGAAATAGCTCCATAATTATCCTCATGAGGCTGAGTGGACCCCATTCCAGACCCACTACTTCTCAGAAAATCTGGTAGCGCCAGGAATCAAACCCAGGACCTCTGGATGTATAGGCAGGATGCTCTGACTACTAGACCACAGAGGCCATATACATTAAAATGAATTATCAACCCAAATGGTTATGGCATGGATTCATTTCTACATTCTTTATTATTCTAAGAGGCATAAAATCTTTTCACTCTCCACACATGTAAAAATGAGCCTACAGTGATAAACGCATGGAAATATAGTAATTCCTCTACTGTACATTCAATTTTGCTGTTAAAATTTTGATCAGGTCAGTTTTAATTGTAGCACATAAAGTTTGTCACTGATACAATTTATGTTAAGTTGACTGTTAAAAATAATCACAAATAAATTACTTTAATCCCACTCATTAACAAGTCGCCATTCAAATTGTAAGAGAATCTCACTGTTTAACTAACCTAAAAGTTTCCTCTGAACATTTTCTCAGTCTTAAAAGACCAACTAATATGTCTTGTTCAGGATCTTCATATGATAAGAACGTCTCCCATCCTCCATTAGCAGTGTAATCACGTCGAATCAACTCCACCTGAAATAAAGAATATTACATTATTTACAATTTATATGGACCCTTCATTTCTGTTACACTTTTAAAATTTCTTGTGACTATGAATTTCTTCGGGACACGCGGTAGTGTAGTTGGTTGAGGCACTATGCTACAAGCTGGAAGGTCACGGGTTCAAGTCCCGATGAGGTCACTGAATTTTTTTAAATTGACCTAATCCTTCCAGCCACACTATGGCCCTGGGGTCAACTCAGCCTCTAACAGAAATGAGTACCAGGTATATTCTTGGGGGTAAAGGGCAGCTGGCACATAGGGCTAACAACCTTGCCGCCATCTATGAGCCGAATGTCTAGAAAATGTGGGACCCTCAATGTCGCACAACCCTATGGGCCTCCACAGCCTGTTATAGGGATACCTTTACTTTTACTTTTATGAATGTCTTCACTATCAATATTCAATCGGAAGATGCTCAATGCACTACATGAAAACTGCTAAGGAAGTTACCTCCAAAACAAAGTTTATTTCTTAAAGAGCCATATAATCTATTTCATTCCCTCACAGAGGAATTGCATTATATTTTCTATTCAGAAAATTGTCCATCCTGGTAACTTATGGACAATATACATAATGAACTGACAATCTAGCTAGTTACATTTACTTTTAACATATCTTTATTGTTTGTGTCTGGTTATATTATATACTCAAGGTACTGAAGCCACTGACATAAAAATGATGTAAATTAGGTTTTAATAAAATCAATAAAAGTATCAGTGGTTTAACCTTTAAATGCCGGGCTTTTGAAATGGTGGTAAGCTTGAGCTGGTTGGAGTTTATTTAAATGCCTGCTGCTGGTGCGTGTTTAAATGCACGTTGCTACTCTGTGTTTAAATGTCTGTTCCTGTTGGGGCACTTAAACAATTTTAAGTATTGTTTAAAAATGCTGTATCTAACACAATTTTTATGATAAATGGATGGCATTAACTTTGTTTGTATCAGCAAAGAACAGTGTCACATATTACAATGGAAGATTTGAAAAATTTTATACAAAAAGTTATACTCTATTTTCAATTTTTTCCTTTTAATTTTGATACGTACTGCAAAATTGGTCTCCCAATTCTTCACAAAGTTATTCTGCATTATAAATTCGTTTCTGTTTGTAACACTTGACAAATTTTAGCAGTCCCTGGTGCCATAAAACAGATGGAAGCAATGAAGTCATTGAGTTCTCTGCTGGAAAACCTTATATATCTCTGTTACACCCTTCAGATTTTTGCATCTTTTGACTGAAGGACAGGAGACTGAAAGTATGGCTATTCAAGAAATAGCTAGAGGGGTCCTTCTTCAGTGCTAAGATCTTACATTATAGCTGCAAAAGATTATTGCCCTTTCTATGGGCGTGAAGAGACAGTTGCATTGTGGCTGAGATACAGACTGCGATCTGTTTTCTGTGCGTTCATAGTGAAATCGAATACTGTAGTTTCATTTCAGCCTATATATACATCAAGCAGATAACAAAAAAGGTATGTACAGCGAATTTTACTATATATTTTTAACACATTAATCTGCAGAATCTGCAATAAAAGTCCTGGCTCATGGATGAGTTTGGGCATAACTCATACGTATACTCTTTTTGTTGTTGTTCACTTAGGTATCATTTAATTCCTCTATTATGGTTTTACTCAAGTCTGCNCGTGTAAAAGCACAAAACATACTAAGATAGTTGAGTACACTCTCAAGTTCTCACTTTTCATCCAAACCTATTTTTAAGTTAAAACGCTAAAATGTTAAAATATTTGATATAAAATGCTGAACTCCTCCTTGTTAATTCATCCTGAAGATGGGAGACGTCAGCTTGAGGTTGTATGGCTTATGGTTTGATATGTTCCTGTGTGCTGTGTGCTCTGCTGACGTCTCCCATCTTCGGGATGAATTAACAAGGAGGAGTTCAGCTTTTATATCAAATATTTTAACATTTTAGCGTTTTAACTTAAAAATAGGTTTGGATGAAAAGTGAGAACTTGAGAGTGTACTCAACTATCTTAGCATGTTTTGTGCTTTTACACGTCAACATATCGTAGCAGCGTCCACACGACAAACATAATTGTGAACAAAAAACAGCGACAGTGTTTCCATAATTATAGCAAGTGCCTCTGATGATGGTTGTGTCAAACCGAAACATGTAAGGCAGAAATAATAATAAAAAGTGACCTACAAATTGTTACACTCGACGGACTCTCTATTAACTTTGTGATTGATAGTGTAACGGACCAAAATGAAACATAAAAAAAAAAAACACACATTATTATTGAATTTCAGATTTAAGAGGATCCACTTTTTAAATGAGAAATGTTGTGATACATTTTTGTATTAAGTGATAAAGGTAAAAATAGCTATCCCTGTAACGGGCTGTGAAGTCCATAGGGTTGTGAGATATTGAGGCTCCCACATGTTCTCTAGTCAGTCGGCTCACTGATGGCGGTAAGGTTGTCAGCCTTACACACCGGCTGCCCTCTTCCCCCAGAAAGATTCCTGGTACTCATTTCTGTTCGGGGCTGAGTTGACCCCAGGGCTATAATGCGGCTAGAAGGATTAGGTCAATTGAAAAAATCCACCTCATTTGGACTCAAACCTGGGACCTTCCAGCTTCTAGCATAGTGCCTCAACCAACTACACCACCGCATACCCCTGTATTAAGTAATAGAATATAAATTTTAGACATCCTATTAAACTGTTAAAAAGGTTAAAATAGAGTAGATGAAGCATAATGTGGGGCTTGTTAAGTGTGGCATAGAAGGGTGTATATGGACAATCAAGTGATACGAGTAATGCTGTATTTATTGATAGCTTAATATTTTGTATTATTGGTGGATCTATTCCCTTCAGAAGTTCACTGAAGTAGTGTATAAGTAATGGGCTCTGTGGG